GGGGAGGGTTGCTTCAGATGTGGGTATGCCACTACCATCTTCCCCCAACAGAACAAGCAGTTCATTATCTAGACCGGGAGTTGCCCTAAATAGGACTGTGACCAGTACGTTGTATTCAGGGAAAGACGGTTGTGCGGTGTTGCAGTGCATGCCCTTTGCGCCCACAGGAGCACTGCTCTCCCAACTTGCAAAGTACTCATCATAGTGAGTGTAACTCGTCCTTTATTTCCCCCCCCTGCGTCAGCTGTACTTACCAGTGCCACCATGGAATAAGTGTCCTTCTGCTGAGTCAGCTGTTGAACTTCCTTAAAAGTCTCTCGAGCTTTCACCCAGCTGTCACCTTTCATCTCCAGCAAGCCTTTCATTGAGAGGACATCGATGTTGTCTTCATCGACCTTCAGCGCATCATTAATCTGCACCAGAAATCAACCACCCAAAAAAACAGATCGCCATGAGACCTAATATAACACAGGTCCTCCCCGCCACTACTCACCAAATGTGCAAAACGGACGGCATATCTTCCGCGAGAACGTGGAAACGAACACTCGTCATAGCTCACTACTGTCTTTCCCACATTCAGTGAGTGGAGGTGGGACCGGCATCACGTTCTCTCTTCCTTCCCAACAAGGGTTTTGCTCTCCAACCCTAAACACGACGAAACAGACTACACCCTTGTCTCATCAGAACAGATAGGACCAGAAGGTCCCAAAATCTGATCCAGAAGGTTCAGATTCACAATTTTTGAAAAAAGTTAAAAAGCGAAAGTTATGAATCAGTCGTTACGGAGAACATATTCTTCAATCTTTGGCGTGGTCGTCTAACAGCCCTCCCAGACCGTGTGCATGATGCTAGATAGGACGAATCACCGCCACTGCCACCATCATCGGGGTGCAAACAGCAGAGCCTGCAAGGGCTCAGCCATTTTCTGGAGGAGCTCACACCAATCTAACTCCATTACCTTTCAAGACACCCACACACAAACACACACACAGACGAGTTTAAAGTCCCGAAATCCTGTCCAGGTCCCAGAATCTGATCCAGCAGGTCAGATCCAGGTCCCAAAATCTGATCCAGCAGGTTCTCTAGTTCCTTTAGTAGTCCCCCCAATACCAATATGATGGTTTATTCTGTTTTCAGATCAAGAGTATAGAAAGATAGCTGAGCCGTATGAAAAGGAAATTTTCAAATTCGGTTCCATGGGACGTGTGAGGATCTGGGTCCTCGGAGGGCCTAAGAGGGCCCTACTGCAGATGTGCCTGCTCTAAGTGAAGGCGGGCCTAACAAATCACGAGAGGCCCTCAGCTGTCAATTTCGTATTTGGGGGTCCAGGTAGTTTCGACGCGCCAGTTGGTGGAGGGAAAGCGCACGCAGAGCAGCAGCACATTCCACGGCCTTCTGGGCCCTTCTAGGAATGCAGGCCCTGGGCGAGAATCGCAGCCTCATACACAGACAGTTGTGAGCCCCAACCGTAAGAGGCCCAGTAGCTGCAACACAAGCGCAGCATCCTGGGGCCTACCGGAAGCTTCTGGCCCAGGGCCAGTCCAGCCAGGCTGCGAAGGCAGGAGGCTCTTTCCAGATAGAAAAGAGCTCGCCAAGGGCAGCCTCATTCAGGCACTCGCATGCTAGCGGCAGCCCTGCTGGAGCGGACGCACGAGGGCTGCTGCTGGCGCTGAGAGGTGAGGTGCAAGCGCGTGCGGTCGTACAGGGAGTAGGGCGCTGCTAAGGGCAGCGCCATAGCCCAGCCTCCACAGCTGGCTGAGGCCTTGGTTGTACAGTAAGGCGCAGGGGTGATCTTTGGGTGTAGTTCGGATGTACAAAGGGAAGACGTGGGAGTAAGATGAGGGAGAGGGAGAAGGATGATGATGATGATGATGTGAGGGCACATACCTGGTATTGGCGATGGTCTGCATGGGCGACATCTTCAAGTACTTCGGAGGCTGCTGACGCCAACAGTTGCATTGTCAATTAGTAGGCAGAGAGTAGCTGTGTAGGAAGTAGGTTGGGCGCCGAGCGCCAAGCAGGGAGATAAGGCCTGGACACTCATGTTGGTGGTGGCGAGAGCAAGCTCTCATTGACGTTGGTTTTCAGAGTTTCGAATCTTCATTGGTGTCATATTGGTGCATTTCTGCTTTCTGGATACAGTGGTACGATCGGGCCTTCAATGTGATTGCGTATGCTGGACATTGTCATCTCCCTATTGCTCATTTCCTTGTAGACGGAAAAAAAAAAAAAAAAAAAAAAAAAGAATACCATGCCAACCGAGGCGAACAAGCTAGTCAACAACAACAAGATATTCAAAGCTCGAAAGCACAGGAGTGGTGAAAGATTACGTCTGATCCCAAATTCGAGTCAATCAAAGCTGCCGAATACTAGAAACAAGATATCAATTAGCTCCTGGTACTTATTATATTGAACCACAAAACTGGTTAAAGAGATTTAGGTCTGATCCCGAACGGTGGGAACATCCTGAAAATTCCGGTCCAGAGGGTCGGAACCGAAATCCGAAATCGAATCCATGCTCTGAAATCCATACGGGCGGGGGGAGCTCACACTGCCACTACTGGGTGGGAGGCACTCCACTCTCTGCCAAGACTGCTTGTCGACAACATGACATGTGCATCTAGGTCCTCAGCTGCTGAAATCCAATGCTTGTCGTGACAAATGGATTCTCTCACATATGCGACCGCAAGTTGTAAGTTGGAATAGATCCTCCCCTTCAAAGAGCTTGACATAGTCCACGATCCTGGTCACATAAATGGGCAGGTTCGTACCAGCACGGTCTCGGCCCATTGTCGGTGCAATGTTTGTGCTGCGGTCAAAATGGGGCCTCTCCATTCATGCGACCACAATCGTGATCACTTTCGTAACAGAACAGACATAGCACCACCGAGCAGGGCCTCACTCCCTTTTTCAAACTTCGATCCCCAAACATGTGCTGCCAGTTCTTCCGCAGACGGCAAAACCATCTATCTGTCGGTTCCGGCAGACGGCCATATCGTCCGCCAGTTCACCAAGGTTGGAAGGAATAGCATGATGGGAAACTCTGCAGGGCCCAGACAAGGGCCCCCCTTGTCTGGGCCCAGAAGCAGCGTTTCCCGTCATGAATTCAGACATCCGGCGGCCCCTGGTCATCTGTCTGGGCTCTGGTGGATCTTCCGATCCACATGCAAGAGCGCAGTGAACGCACGTCAGGCAGATCTCCCTGTTATGACATCAGACGTCAGGCAGGCCCTGGCAGGCAGAGGTTCCACGAAGTGCAGGAGGATCAGTTTCGGAAACCTTTTTTTTTCCCTTAAAAACAAATTGACAATTTATCGACTTATAGCGTGTCATCCTGGCCAAAAGGGCCACGCTAATCTTTGCTTTCTCTGTATCGTTCCAATTTTAACAAATGTCCCAAAGGACTGGCCGTTTCGGAAAATAATTTTAAAGAATTTGAATCATACTGGCGCACCAGTGCGCAGCGCGGTGCGGTGTGCTGCGGTGCGGTGTGCTGCGGTGCGGTGCGCAGTGCGCTGTGCGCTGGAATTCCAGCGCGCGCACTGTGCGCTGTACGCAGTGCCCAGTGCACAGTGCGCGCGCTGTGGAAGATGCACCAGGTGCACAAAATAAAAAATATATATACATATGTATATATATAAAATAAAATAAATTTAAAATTTTGAAAATAGTAAAAATAATAAATACAACATTTGTTTGTGCCACAAAGAGAGAGAGAGAGAGAGAGAGAGAGAGAGAGAGAGAGAGAGAGAGAGAGAGAGAGAGAGAGAGAG